GCATGTTATTTGAAGTTCCAAAAAATATGACAATAGAAGAACATTTTCTTTTAGCTTAAATAAACAGTTGGATAGACAGACGGGCAAATGTACTTTTTTCCAAACCACACCCTTCTTAACTGCGTTGCTCGGGTATACAATATCATTACATGTGCTACATGTACAAGCTTATCACTTTTGTATAAAATCACAAAACATAGAATAAATTTGTAGTTAACCTACTAAATAGTCCACACAAAAATCGATTATCTGAAATATCTCCTTATCATTTACCATAAATATTCCTTAAGGATTTAACATAATTTCCACAGAAATAAGATACATGTAACACAGAATTAAGATACATATAACACAGCGATAAGATATATCTAACTTAGAAATAAGATACATGTAACACAGAAATAAGATACATGTAACACAGAAATAAGATACATGTAACACAGAGATAAGATACATGTAACACCGAAACAAGACGCATGTAACACAGAAATAAGATACATGTAACAAAGAAATAATATACATGTACCACAGAAATATGATACATGTAACACAGAAATAGGATACATGTAACACAGACATAAGATACATGTAACACAGAGATTAGATACATGTAACACAGACATAAGATACATGTAACACAGAAATAGGATACATGTAACACAGAGATAAGATACATGTAACACAGAAATAGGATACATTTAACACCGACATAAGATACATGTAACACAGACATAAGATACAGGTAAAACAGAAATAGGATACAGGAAACACAGAAGTAATATACATGTAACACAGAAATAAGATACATGTAACACAGAGATAAGATACATGTAACACAGAAATAAGATACATGTAACACAGAAATAAGATACATTAACACAGAAATAAGATACGTGTAACACAGAAATAAGATACATGTAACAGAAATAAGATACAAGTAACACAGAAATAAGATACATGTAACAGAAATAAGATACAAGTAACACAGAAATAAGATACATGTAACACAGAAATAAGATACATGTTACACAGAAATAAGGTACATGTAACACAGAAATAACGATAAATGTTACACAGAAATAAGATACATGAAACACATAAATAAGATACATGTAACACAAAAATAAGATACATGTAACATAGAAATAAGATACATGAAACACACAAACCAGATCCATGTAACACAGAAATAAGTTACATGTAACACAGAAATAATATACATGTAACACAGAAATTATACATGTAACACAGAAATAAGATACATGAAACACAGAAACAAGACGCATGTAACACAGAAATAGGATACATGTAACACAGAATTAGGATACATGTAACACAGAAATAATATACATGTAACACAGAAATAAGATACATGTAACACAGGAATAAGATACATGTAACACAAAAATAAGATACATGTAACACAGAGATTAGATACATGTAACACAGAATTAGGATACATGTAACAAAGAAATAATATACATGTAACACAGAAATAAGATACAGGTAACACAGAAATAGGATACATGTAACACAGAAGTAATATACATGTAACACAGAAATAATATACATGTAACACAGAAATAAGATACAGGTAACACAGAAATAGGATACATGTAACACAGAAGCAATATACATGTAACACAGAAATAATATACATGTAACACAGAAATAAGATACATGTTACACAGAAATTAGATACATGTAACACAGAAATAAGATACATATTACACAAAAATAAGATACATGTTACACAGAAATTAGATACATGTAACACAGGAATAAGATACAGGTAACACAGAAATAGGATACATGTAACACAAAAATAAGATACATGTTACATAGAAATAAGATATATGTAACACAGAAACAAGATGCATGTAATACAGAAATAAGATACATGTTTCACAGAAATAAGATACATGTAACACAGAAATAAGATACATGTTACACAGAAATAAGATACATGTTACACAGAAATAAGATACATGTAACACAGAAATAAGATACATGTAACACAGAAATAAGATACATGTTATACAGAAATAAGATACAAGTAACACAGAAATAAGATACAAGTAACACAGAAATAAGATACATGTAACACAGAAATAAGATACATGTAACACAGAAATAAGATACATGTAACACAGAAATAAGATACATATTACACAGAAATAAGATACATGTTACATAGAAATAAGATATATGTAACACAGAAACAAGATGCATGTAATACAGAAATAAGATACATGTTTCACAGAAATAAGATACATGTAACACAGAAATAAGATACATGTTACACAGAAACAAGACGCATGTAACACAGAAATAGGATACATGTAACACAAAAATAAGATACATGTAACACAGAGATAAGATACATGTAACACAGAAACAAGACGCATGTAACACAGAAATAGGATACATGTAACACAGAAATAAGATACATGTAACACAGAAATAATATACATGTAACACAGAAATAAGATACATGTTACACAGAAATAAGACACATGTAACACAGAAATAAGATACATGTAACACAGAGATTAGATACATGTAACACAGAAATAAGATATATGTAACACAGAAATAGGAAACATGTAACACAGAAATAACGATACATGTTACACAGAATAAGATATATGAAACACATAAATAAGATACATGTAACACAGAT